AAAGTCAGTTGCTCGCTGTTTCACTTGCGAGGGGTGGCAAGAATGAGATCATCATGACGCATTGCTATTTAGAATCATTGGATTCTTTCAAACAAGTTGCGTGTTTCCTCATGAACGTTTGCTGCACACAACTTTAAACAACCATTAAATAGCAGAATGAACTAGCTACAAATGACAGAATGACTGTCTGTTGATAGCTACAAACTCCGCACAACTCAGGCTGCCACCTTCTGCTTCCTTTCGCACTACGTCCAAACCTGAATCGATCAGTTCCGCTCCCTCCGTATAATGTCCCTTCGCCTCAATTCAGTATGTTCGACTCTATTGACCCACATGATTCAACGCACATTTTGTACATGGTTTCTTTTGAGAGCGGGTGTGCTTTGAAAAGCACACCCCAATTCAAACTCTATCAAAAGCACTGTAAATACAACGAAAAATTTCAACATTTTTTGGGAGCAGGGCGAAACGTATATGTTTCTATTTTCCCGTCCCCAATTTCCATTATATGCGACGTCAACGACAAAAATTAATCCATAGCTCTTCATCTGCACAACAATACCAATGTGTAATACCAATCAACAGTAAGTGTTAGCATTTTACCTTTTTCTGCCCAATATGAACGAATGTACTGTTACAAGGACTGTACTTAACTATATGTAAATGTCAATGATACCACTATAGTCTCTTGCTTACTTGACTTTTGATGATGTAAGTTTAGGTGCTCCTTTTGCAAACAAAAAAGTCCCTCAAAAGAGTGTCAAAAGGGCACCAGTTTTATTGGTTGTAGTGATCTGCATTCACCTCTGTTCATCTGTCTCACTATCTACCAAAGCTTTCCGCCATTGAAAGGCCTTTCCACACAAATCATGGCAGCAAACGCTTTTGGCAATGTGAGCTTCCAAAATGCCCTAAGTGTGACCTATTCGTTGAAATTGGTCAATTTGGACAAGGGCCCGCAATTCCTGGAGTCTCATTTGCACAGCGGCCACATACACGCTGCTGACTTGCTCATGAAAAGTCTGTATTTTAGAGCCCCCTCCGTGAAGCACTAGGTAGAGATCATCAATGACGTGCAAGTGGAAAACCTATCCCACGAGCACGAGCAGCTCAGGCAAATAAAGAGATTCCATGTCCTACCAAAACCGTTCGGATTCAAATCAGCTCCTCAAATGTCAGCAAAGGTCACCTGGGTTCTCTTCACACGGGAGGATGGAAAGAAGCTTCTGCTCAAAGACATCAACCTACACAAGAAGGTAAAGCGTCATTAAATCCATATCCCATGGTAATAAGCTCTATGTATTGACTTGGGAGGGTAACCTCAAGAACGTCGTGGAAGCAAAATCCAGAACATGCAAGGTTGGAAGGGGAGGCTCTATGTGCGTGACTCAAGCTTTAAGGCAAAAGCTCTGAAGCGTTCAACTTCCATGAGCAAGATGCGAACGCTTTAGTATTGTGGCTTTGGTTTCATTGAGCAAGAAGGGCCCAGGGAGAATGTAAAGAACCCGCAGCTTTGATGGATCACCAAGCAGCTGAACAACCCCAAAAGACCCACCTACAAGTGGCCAGAATGTCTTCTTGCAAATGACGGTGTACTGTCACTGACTTTCAGTTCACCCTACCTGCTGCGCCCCTCAAAAGCATTAACATACTTCGCCTTTGTACGGAGCAGTCTCTTAGGTTTCACGGCGCAGCTGGTTTTGGCCAGACACCTTTGGCCCACATCATTTTGCGTGGCCTTCTCCAGGTATTAAAGCACAGGGTTCCGCGCAGCTAGCGAATTTGCAAAGCACAGGGTTCCGCGCAGCTAGCGAATTTGCCTTTTCCAAGGCCAAGTGGGCCGGCCGTCTGACAAGGCCAGATTTGTTGGATCAAATGGTCAAGAAGCTGAAAGCCTTTGCTAATGTGGCTTGGAAGAAGCCATGACCAAAGAAAGGCACCGCATGATACACGGCCACGTGTCTTCAAGCGCTTGGCTTCTCAACTCTTCCATGAACCCATCGATTTGGACAGCCAAGCAAATCAAAACTAAAATTTCTTCGAGACAATCCAACGCAACATGCTTGCTCAGCACTACGGTCAACAATGTGATCCAGCATCTGAAGAACATCCCCTGCCTGATCACGAGCAAGAGGATGAATGAGAACCTGCATATGGTACCTGCATATGGTGCATATCCTCTGCGCTGAAATTCCTTTGCCTGACCATGAGCAACACGAGCAATGTGGTGGTGCATCTCATGGACACGATGGTAACCAGTGTGACTACGCATCTCCTGTACCTGGCCCTTATGATCATGAAAGGCCGCGTTTGCTGTGCTTTGTCCTTCTGACCAGCAGTGTGATGAAAAGTCCGCAACTAATCTATGTTCCACTGACCGGACCTACTTTTCAGCGTCGCAGTGGCGATCTCCTCAACATGGTGGTCGTGGAGCCTTTGTTCATCAACTCCAAGGCAGGCTTCACCATCCGATACTGGACTTGAAATATCACGCTGCTCGTCTTCTTTTCCATTGTGCTACCACTGCACAAGGCTTGGAGCGGCGCTATCAGACCAACCTTCTTCGATGGGTCTGACGAGAAAATGGGATGGGAAAGAAACTTGAGGAAATCGCATTGCAATGCTCTTTTCTACTAGATGGCCGCCACTGAGTGGGAAAAGATTGGCATTCACACTAGCCTTGCCAGTGGAAACGAGCTCAGCGAAGATACTCTGAAACAGCATGATCAATTCTGTCACGAGAATCTGTTCCCTCCATCTCGTCGGACTCGTCAGAACAAAGTCGAAAGTTCTTGCGAAGTGTTTTGGTAACAAGGTTGCCAGTTCTCGTTCAGGACGCCCCTAGTAAAGATGGAATACAAAAGAAGGGCACAACCACGGATGGTTCATGGTCGGATGGCTCATTGTCATTGACCCGTGTACCTTTCGCATCCTGACAATTGAGAGGTTGGAGAAGGGCGAGAACAACGAAGTGGTCTCCAAGTCTGTCAAGAAGGTCCTTCCACTTTAACCCCAAGGTCGACCTCCTCACACTCGATCGCTGCTGCCACTATACAAGCCCTCGGCTATCAACGACCCGGACCTTACGCAAATCAAGTGCGACATGTTCCACACATACCGCCACAAAAGCACATGTCCTTGCAACCCATTGACCAAGAAGAGCCTCATGAAAAGAGTAGACTCTACCAATACCTCGTGGCAGAGCAAACCTTCGCATGGTTCAGGGGCTATGCCTATGCCAATGTCTTGAACGACATGCGCTCTCTCCGTCATAGGTTTGCAGCGCTTCTCTTCTGCGCTTGGCACAATGACCTGATCCTTGCCGGGAAGATGGGGCGCTTGAATCAGTTCAAGTCGAAGAGGCAATCCCGCAAGACCTCCAGGCCATACTCTTAGCAGCCTAAAATGCAAGGCCAAGGGGTATCAACGCGTGCGAATTTTGAAGACCATGAAGGCAATAAAGTGACAGCTGCCATGTGTGAGAGCGTCCAAATGTTGAACGTAGAAGTATATCGCGAATCTGTCGGAAGCACGGTCGCAGTACTCGGCAAAGCCATCCATCGTACAAATCCAGAAAACTAATCAACCGTGCAAGGAAAGGAATATACTAAATAGATATTTATACTAAATAAATACTATATATACAACTTACCAAGAGTGTCTGCTGAGCGACAAAGCTTTAGAGCAAATAAAGAAATACAAAACTACAAAGCACAAAAACAACATACCCAAAAAAAATCAAAAACGCAATATTTAAGACAAAATGAAGGCAACACCAAATAATACCTCCATTTTGTCAAACATCGTGGTTTTTTGTTTGTTGTTGGTTTTGTTTTTGGTATCCCCTCTAAGCCTTATAGGCCTGGTCTGAACAAAATGAAACAACAAAAATTGTTCAAAACCTACGTTTTGGTGATGTTTCAGCCAAAAACACGATAAAACACCGTGTGTTTTCACATGTTCTGTGCGAAAACATCTCCCGTCTTTCGTGTTCAAGAAAAGTTTTTCATGTCCCATCCCAGCATGCCAATCAAAAAACGAAAGGATTCCACGGCGGCAACACATTCAAGCCACCCAGTTGTTGCCCGCGCCCGTCTGGCCGAAGACAAAGTTGTCCGGACGAAAAAGTTGTCCGAATGGCCCAGCACGAACGCTGTCCATGGTTCCTGGCACACCATGCCACAGCAGAACTACGGTTGCTAACTGTGTTTGGTGCACAAACACAAACGCAGATCTTCATAATTTGTTAAACTAGTTAACAACAGAATGACAATTTGTTAGGCACAGCCCCTGAACACCCACCCTGACACTGCAGAAAAGAGTCCAGGCTCCAAATCCATCAAGACTGCACGGGGCACGTAGCGCCCTCCCGTGGCTTCGTTGAAATAGACATTGATGCGTTCCTGACCGAAAATGTTTGCCGACTGTGAGGGCGAAGCCGAACGTCTTTCGCCGAAAAGGAGGCGTAAAAAAACATCGCGCACCATCGCCCACTCCAAAGAGGTGCCTGGCGGCACCCGTTGAAATTGGTCCAGGAGAGGAAGATCGAAAAAACATGAGGCGCGGAAGTCATGGAAAGGACCACCACGGCAAAAGGACCTTCTGCGGTCTGGTTCCAGAGGTCAAACAGGTCGAAAAGGAAGCATGGCCTTGAGAAATAAAAGAAAGAGCCAGTTCGATTGTCAAGCAGAGCGCAAACATTTTTCTCTGTGTTCAAAACACACGTTTCCACGGATCAGGAAGGCTGTGACCATTGTCTTGTGAGGAGCATCTGATCTAGGCGCATCGAAAAACTATATATAGCCAAACGAACAGCACTGGAAACAAATAGCTATGGCCTCCATCCTAATAAAAATGGTCTCCAAGCACCTTGCACAAATAAATATCTATATATATATATATGCGCAGATCAAACAAACAACGAACATGGACGCACAGCCCATGTGTGCATTGCAAGCTCTGTGTGCGAGGTTTTTTGTTATAACTTTTCCATCCAAGACTTGAGCTGTTCAAAAGCAACCGTGGTGGGTGGATCTTGAACACACGGAATCCAATACCCCGTACTGCTTTTTCTGGCAGATCAACTCAAAAAACACTCACAACGCGCAACCAGCTGCCTGACTAAAATTTTTCTGGGCTCATCAAAATGAGCGCGCCTGCAAAACTAATCCGCAATCCTGCTAAGATTCCTGTAGTCATACCCGAACAATCCTTAATCTGCAGGAGTCCGTAATCCTTCCCCAGCCTTATAATCCGTAATCCTTATAAGCCGTAGAAAGGAAAGAATCCAAATTCCTGAGTGTAGGGATCCTCACAGACCCGATTTGGAAGCAACCAACTCAAACCACAGAATTGGGGGCTCGGGATTGTGAAGGGTGCCTGTGCCCATTAGGAATCCTCACAGCCCCGATTTGAAAGCAACCAACTCAAACCACTGAGCTCGGGGTTCTGGCTTGTGAAGGGTGTTTGTAGTCATAGGATCCTCACAACCATCGCGCGAGCTGGGAGTAGTGGAGCCGAAGGTGCTCCAGGATCAAAGTTGTTTCACCGCAACCCAAAATTCTATTCCGTAATCCTAGTCTCAAAACGGGGGCTCTGAGTTCGAATCCGAAATCCGCCCCAAACCGGACAATCCGATAGTTTGTAATCCGTAATCCCCCTTGGGATTAAGGATTACGTTTGATGAGGCCAGTTTGGATTATTCTGGACTGTGAACAGGAAACCCAAGCCGAGGGTTGGCACTAAAACACGTTCAAAATCGTTCAAACATCCTTGTCTACTCCATAAGCACCTGGTGGCTGCATGCAGAACGGATGGAAAAGGAGATTCCAAAATATCGTACGGACGGGAAGCCATACTTCGGGTTCCTCAAGTTGAATTTGCTGCGATAAACGCAGTGCATTCATGTGCATTCAAGTAACATACTGCATCATCTCCAGTCCCAAAAAAAAAAATGTTGCTGAGACTCTCTGGGCCCTAGTTTTCTGTCTCCTTGAAACTCCCAAGTCGAATGCTTTTGCCTGCCATGCCAACGCCTTGCCAATGATATTTACCAATGGCAATGTTGCGAGGATGGCGGCCGCTAAGACAATTGTGAAAATACAAGCAATGTTGCGAAATGATGTCAATATATGTCAATGCTGAGCACACACGATGATACTTTGAACTGATGACCCTCCAACTGCCTGACCCAATGATGAAACCGTTGCAACGGCGATGATAATGCTGTGAAAAAACAATGGCCATATTGCGCTCGCGATAATGATGGTGTGAAAACAATGACTGAACATGATGCTGTGAAGTTGATGACAAGAGAGGAGTGAACAGCCATAAACAACGCTCGAACCACGTCCAAGTGCGCCAAAAAATGCAAAAGTTAAAGCGCAAAAAGGTAGTCCGGTGTTCAGCCCGCCAGCAAAAACATGCCGCAGCCAAAACGGTGAAAAACAAGTTCGATCGTCCCAAAAGGATGCCTGGAAGGTTCGAGTGCCAATGCTCTTCACGTCACAAAGATTAAAAAAGGCCCGGCCTCATGTCGGCGCAGATCTAAGCCACGTCAACTAGAAAGCTATCACAAAAAGCACGGAGTTGTTCCTCCATGCCACATGAATGCCAAATGATCATTATACTATGTACACTTGTTGTAATCCCGAGTACCTAATTTAAAAGCCTCCCCAGTTAAAAAAACACCACGCCCGAAGCCCTAAGTTCGGCTTATATATGTTGTTAAAAATTACCGCCCTTTCAAGCCGCTACTAAACTACCAGCATGGTCGATTTTGGGGGTAGTTTCTTTTACGCGTGTGGATACTAATCTGGTCCACGGGAAGTATGAGTAGACTATCCTCTCACTTGTAGTCAGCAATGGCGCGCACTTCTTTTCCGCTTGAACTACGGGAGTCTTGAGCCAAAGAGTTGGCGTGACATGCTAATGTATGCTGTACACGCATGGGCTATGCCAGGGTACGCTATCGTCCCACTGCTATTGACACCCCCCATGTGACTGATGCTATCAGCAATGGTCACACTTGTAATTCAAGGGTAGTGGACTCTGTACAGTGGTTCGCTATATTGTGCCGCGAGACCTAACGATGTAGACTCTGACTACACATCACTATTGAAACTAAGCGGTCTTTTACATATATACAGCGTGCGCCTTGTTCATTTGGCTAATCAAATCTAATTTGTGAAAACCGACAGTGAAGGTTTGCCTCGCTCAGATTCCACTCAGTAGTTCTTCGCCACGATGTAGAAAGAGCTTTGCATCCTTTCACCTGTAGAAAGTTCACGCGCAGATATGCTTACGACATCTATTGTCAAGCATCCTGCGCGGACCTCATTCTTGTCAGGTATCATTCTAATTTTCATGGTCCTGTTCACTATGTTCTTCCTCTTCACGATCTTGGTCCCATTCACGCCAGCTTCTTCGTGATGTTCTGATGTTCGGGTCCCATACAACTACATATGAAATTTCGGCAAGTCGTGCACCGAGACGTTGTAGGCGTGCAATTGGTACGTACAGAACGATTGGAACGTCTTCCGTTGGGACTTTTGATCTCAATACCGTCGTTGCTCTCTTGTCCCATGGTGCGTAGTGATTGAAGAATGAGCTTCCTCTTGCGCCTTTGTCGCCACCTGGCAGAATTCCATGCTTCACAATTGAGGGTAGCTTTGCAAGTGTGGTAACGTGAAACTCCCACCAAGTTGGATCGCGATGTCATCTGCAATCTCGTGTGATGTTAGGCGCGGGTTGAGAATGACATCGTTTTCATTCTTGTCTGTATACGCCTTGACTCCAAGTTGTGCGACGACACAGCCCTGATTGCAATCGGCATGATCCATCGGTCCTTCTCCTTGTGACCCCTTACATCATTTGGCACAAGGTGTTTCTCTTCCCAAGATTCTCTGCTCAACTTCATGGTATCACTGGTTGACACGCGAATCGCGGCGATTTGGAATCGAACTCTGTTCTGCATCTTCTTTGAGTACCACATTGCTTGACAGCATCGTCGGTACCTCACAGCAAGAATCTCATCCAACTAACATCCTTGTCTTGCATCTCTTGTGATTCGATTCTGATGGTCATTGAAGATGCGCCCGTATGTGAGTACATCAGTGATGCTCACCCATCCTCCTTCATTGCATGGCAATCGATTGTGTGGCCTACCTGATCGTCCAACCACTGTTGCTTTTCCAATCTGGTGTCTTAGTACTTTGTTGACTCTCTTGCTGATCTCATGGACGTTGAGGTAGTCGTCGGTGTCCTTGCGGATATAGACTACGGGATCGCACATGGCTGGTTCCCCATTGGTTCTTCCTTGCCATTCCACTTCTTGACACAGAAGGTAGTACCATGCTGAGGGATGATTTCAATTGCCTGGATCGCAATTTACACGAATCTGTCGGTATGATGTCTTGCGCGCCTGCGACTCATCATCTTTCAGGTCTTCCACTTTCGGGAGTTTCGAGTTCATGGATTATGCGTTCTCGTCAACATGCCCTCAAGTGCTTTGACATCTGGTGGTCCTGACGCGTCGATTGATTTGTTGATGACCTTGAATTCGCCCCCCTCCACTTCATCGACGATTGAACATATGTCCACTGGATCGTTGAACCATGTGATGACAGCGGCATTGTCGAATGATCGTTTCATGGATTCAACGGCTTCTTCATAGTCATCTTCGCTGCTTGATGATTTTGGCTTCGACGGTTCTTTTGGTGGAGGGGTCAGTGACTCCTTGCCCAGTTGTTCAGTCTCGTCTTGCAGATCAATGTCCTCCATATATATAAAATCTGCGCCATCATCACCGTGCGCAGTCTTCATTCTCTTCTTTTCTCTTTCGGCTTGACCTCTTTTGATATTCACCTCGTCGTGATCTGTGAAGTAATATTTGAGCATCCCCTCGACGTGGTCAAAGCATTTGGTGATTTCTGCTTTGCTTGCTTGCCGGTAGCTCGAAAGTAGTTTTGTAAATTTGTGGCACTGATACGCGTGGTCGTAAGTGCCAACACTGCATCACTCCCCGCCTCCTCTCTTCCGTAGCCATTTTGGCTCAAGGCGTCTCTGTAGGCGACACTGACCTTCCTTCGCCTTCCTTGTATAGTCCATGGGATCGATCTCCGGGGACACGGGGTCAGTCTCTTGCTCATTGGGAGTCGTTGAAGGAGGTTGTCTTCCTCTTCATCCATCTTCTCATCTTCCTCCTGCTTCTCTTCTCCCTTGGGTGGTGGTGGTGCCTCCAGCGATGCCATTCGTGTGATAACTTCTGGTATTGGGTATTTGACTTCCATCTGGGACATTCACTGTCTCTCATCGACTGACGCATAGCTGCACGGAGTATTGTTTGTCTTGGTGTTGTCAGTTGTACTTCTCCGGCTTGATGCATAGAAGGTGAGAAATGACA